CCCCAAAACCCCAAAACCCCAAAACCCCAAAACCCCAAAACCCCAAATAAAATATCTAGGATTGAATTGTTAAGAAGTAGCTTCATAAATATGCTGAAACTTAACTCCTGTCTCTTTAGTTAGGTCATATCAAGTGTTGAAGAGGCACTGGTTCACTCCTGCACTTGAGGTTGAGTAAACATAGATCTTTTTGCAATCAGGAGTAATAGCAGATTTGAAAATTCCTGGAAAATTTGGTCTTCCAAATATGATCTTTACAGGACTTTTATGGAATTCTTCCTTTTCGATGAAAATTTGATCCTCGTTATACTGAATCTGAGGGGAGATAGAGCTTTGAGGCTCACTGGAGTTTTTAGAAAGACTTATTAGCAGGAAGGACCTCCAAAACAAAAAACTTGGGATTGTCTTCAAGTTCTTCTCAAGTGTTAGGAATATATTAAATTCTAATTCTGGAATTTTCCAAGGAGAATTAATAATGTGGAAGAGATAGTTTGAAATCCAAGAAATTTGTTCTCCTGCTCTTGAGATAAAGAGGATCTTGACGGAATCAAAGTTAAATTCAGGGGTCTCTGTCTTCTTATTTTTATTCTCAAGTTTTTCTTGGTACACAGCATCTTCGAGAAGTCAAAGGTAAGGAGAGATACCACTTCCAGCTCCAACCATGATTACATTCTTTTTAGTAATAAAAGTATCATTCGAGGTTGATCAAGCCATGCTAATTTTTATCATGGGGTAGAACAGTTTATTCCTCTCTTTACATGTTTTGAAAGGGATCTCTTGGTGCAAATCGTGGAGTAAGTTGAACATATCATACTCACTGTTATTGTCAAGATCAAATTCGTGCATTTTTCATCACTTTTTCTTTCATTCATAGAGATGTTTAATAAATTTTCCGGTCCAGTCACCTGCTTTCTTGATCATAAGGACAAGATATGGATTATGAGGAGATGAAGCCACTGTGAAGGGATGCCATTGCATCAGATGTATCTTCGGTCAGTTAATGAACACATACTGCCCATGTACAAGTCTATAGTTCTTTGGCTTCTGAAGGTATACCAGCATATAAGTTCAATCACTTGCTACAGAAATATCTACGATTTCGAAGTGGTTAAATTTATGAGAAAATACTCGCATGAATTGTTGAATGAATAATCCAATTGATCCTGGAATGAGAGTAGAGATTCACATTGGAAAAATAATTGTGAACCAGAAATCTAAGCCATGAATTATGAGACAAATCAGGAAGATAGGGAAAAGAGTTATGTGAACATATCCAAAAAGTTGAAAATATTTTTGTCTAATTCACTTTGTGGAAGTTATAGCCATAGTACATATTATGATTAGCATAATTAGTCCAGTGAATCCAGGGAGCGTTCAAAACAATAGCTCTGAGTATGAAGGAGGATCCTCAAAGGTTTTGCCTCCCTTGACTCGGTTTATTTCAGTCATATCATCTGTTGTGGTCATTATCCGGAAGGACCCACTGAGGTGAAAGAGGGAATGTATGATAGCATAAATGGTTATCAGATATCCTCAAAACTTATGAATCATGAAGTAATGATCTAGCCAACCAGACAAGAAGTTCTTTCATTTTCTCCTCACCAGAGTCATCATATCATGCGAGATAAAGAATACTAAGAAAACTGTTCAAACAACAATGGCTGCTCCTCAACTTTTGCTTGCAACTAATGTCATCCCGAATTTATTGTAAAAATCATGGAAGAAGATGATTACTCCCATTATTAAGCCAGCTGCAAGACTTAAGCATGTAATTATGATTAATTTAGGAATGTAGTCCCTCCTAAAGTCTATCCACTTTGTTTCAATCTTTTCACCTTCAGTTTTATATATCTCATCGTCTACTTCATGCTCCGAAATGTCCTCCTGCTGTGTCGAAAGGGTGGGGAGACAATCCTTCATCAATTTTTGAGTGAATCCTTTCCTAATCTCAAGAATTTTAAGAACCACCTCTTGGTATTCTCTTTTTAAAGAAGCGTATCTTGAGAACTCCTCTGTAGCAGGAGGCTTAGGTGTAACCTTAAAGTTGTCAGAATGAGTTAGAATAGGTTTAAACGTATCCAAATTGTTTTCTTCAATGCTGATAATGCTCTGCAATAAATCAACAGCCTTAGAAAAGTCGTTTTTAGAGCTAAAATTAGCTAGTAGATAAAGTACCTGCTCATTATAGAGAACTCATTGGTATTAGCTGAGTTTTTAGAAGTTTTGGTGCCTGATTTTTATTCTTCTCTTCCAGTCCATCACTCTTCCTTCAAGGTGACTCTCCAATAGAAGAGTTTAGGCCCTGGGAAGAGTTGAGCTTAATATTTTCCTTTCTATATCTTAGCTCAGAATAATACTTTAAGTATATAACTGGATCTACATTATTTGCGATTTCTGGTGATTTCTCATCTTCTTCATCAGATTCTCAGTCTATATTAAGGATATCCACCATCTTTTCGAATCATGAGTTGCTCATCCTGAGGATGTGGTTAGTCCGAGCCCCTTCATAAAGAATATGCTTCAGTGTTGACCTAGTCACTTTCTTAAATCAGTATCTTTTCTTAATAGCCTTAATTATTTTCTCAGAACTTATTTTGGAAGTCAAATATTTCTCAGAAAATTCGAAATTTGCTCCAAATATCTTATTTAATATAAAGATCAGGGTCATCTCTACTGGGGCACCTATTCCTGCTCATTTGAGGCATTGAGATCGTATCAAGGGATCTCTTACGTTCTTCTACGATATCTGGAATTCCTAAGGAGTTATTAAATCCAAATATAGCAATTACTCACTTTCAGGTTGCACTTTATATGGGTAAGGATACATCGATCCTCTTTTTTCTTTCTATAAATATTTAAATGAAATTACCTACTTTTTCAGCAAGTCTATTCTTAGATTTCTGCATCAACATATCAAGTGAGTACAGTTTATGATTGTTCTAATAGGGAATCACTTAAATAACCAAAAATAATAAATATTGAGCTAAAGGCCAGAAAAGGTATCTTCAGCATTTAAATTAGATGGGAAACCTATTACTTTTTCTGGGTGACCTCTAAAAATTAAACTTGAAGCTATTTTCATCCATAATATTAAAACACTTAGTCTCTAAACTTTGTCACAATTGCCTGAAAATGCTCTTAAACGTAGTATCCTAACACCAGATCTAATTTAATACCCTACCTTATTTTCACCACACATAAAGCTGCCTACAGAGTCGTCAAAACCATGATTCTCTTCAGTATCTTCCATTCCTAATCCTTGTTACTGGGTATTTTCTATAAATTTAAGCATTATAGGGGTTTTGGGGTTTTGGGGTTTTGGGGTTTTGGGG